TTTTTTTTTTGCGAGTCCTTCCAGGGAAAGTGACGCAATGGGAGTTTTTAAGCACGGGGAAGTAGTCACTTTCTGGCAAGGGAGCAAGCAAGCAGTTGTTATTAACAAGTCAACACATCTGCAGAGGTCTGCCCGTTTCTGGTTCCAAACGGGTGGAATGAGACCCACACGAAGGGGGGGGGGCAAGAGACTTCTTAATTCCCCTTTATTCATGTCCACGCATTTCCCATCCACGTCATTACGAGGACATGGAATTCCTTTCTCCATTCCTAATGCGGAAAAGGTGATCTGTTTGACCAATGTGGCTTTGGGTAATATTTTAGATTTCCTTCTACATCTGATTGTCCTACCAGATGTTCTGGACCATTTGCACCATTTAATTAGGAAAATACAAAGTAGCAGCAAAAAAAACCCAAACCCAGAAAAAACGACAGGTCAAACTCATCACCCTTACATCTGTACGTTTGTCAGCAGCTCTTCCTGCCTCTGGTAATTATGCAGCCGTTTTGCTCGCTGCCAGAATAATTGGGGGGAAAAATAAAGCAAAAAACCCCCCGACATCAACAGTAAGAGCGCCTTTTTAATAATAGTGAAATTAAATTATGGACTAGAATAATTCACAGAACCAACACGGCCAATACACACTTGGTGCGGGAATTAAAGCTGATGGTTAACTCAGCAAGGAATTATGCAGTTTGAATTAAAAGTAACCCACCAAATCTGAGGCTGGGAAATGTCTTGTTGAGATACAGGGCGGGAGCTGGATTGTTTGGCAGGGAGAAGTTTAGTGATGTGTTTGTTTCTGATTATTTCATGCCTGCCAGTTTTATGACGGAAACCAGCCTGAATCACGAGATGCCAAAGTGGACAAATAAATGTAAACCAACTGTAATAATAAAGGAATGAATGAATGAATGAACGAACGAATGAATGAATGAATGAAACTGGGGGGTGAGGGAGTCACCTTCTTGCAACACTCAGATCTCTGCCCCCTTCCCTTCAAGAACCCCCCAAAGTTGACCTACTGTTTATTTCCTTGAAGAAGTGGGATCCGATCACAGAGAAGGTGAGGACAGAAATAGGCAACGCGCAATCCGAGAGGATTTCACGGACGCGGGGATGGAGGTAAGGGCTGCAACAGAAGTAGAAACACCCAGTCAGGACCAATCAGGGCCAACGTCCTGTGGCAGGTTCTCGAACAATCAGGACAAAACTGCAACTATTTCATGACCCGAAAGAAACGGGCTTGCCTCAGCTGCTCACAGTCAGGAACATATCAGAACACCCCCAAGAGGCATGTTGGTCAAGTTTGGGAAGAGAAGCCAACATCCATGCCTAGCTAAGATGCTGTTGCATCGCTCTGCATTCCTTTCTCCGTTGAACTCTGTGGCACAAGGTCCAGCACATAGGGGCTTTCCTTGGAGAAATGATGATTTACCTTAGACATCCCCCCAAACATACCAGACACTTTGGGTGCCTCCTTAGGAAAGGTCAATGTATGCTGATCATCCCAATTCCCCAACATCTGAAGTCTTCTTCCTGCCCTGCTACCCAAGATATATATATTTTAACTAAGGATGCTAAGAGCTGAGTAGAGACAGTTGCCTGCAAGACTCGTCCTGGACTGTTGCTATTGTTGTTATTCTTATATTCCCTTTATTTTGTAGCAGTGCACCTAAAACTCCCTCTTCCTATTTCCTCCACAATAACAACCCTGTGAAGTGGACTGGGCTCAGAGAGAGCAACTAGTCCAAACCCACCTATCTGGCTTCCAGGCCTAGCAGGGCTAGCATTCCTAGTCTGTTCCTAGTCTGGCACCTTAACCTCTACACCAAACTGGCTCATTACAGAGCAGTGTTTCTCAACCTTGGCAAGTTGAAGAGGGGTGGACTTCAACTCCCAGAATTCCCCAGCCAGCCATGAATTCTGGGAGTTGAAATCCACCCCTCTTCAACTTGCCAAGGTTGAGAAACACTGCTATAGGATTGTACCGTGCCTTTCTTAACATGTTGTTCATACACGTCAGACGGTTGCTTGCACCAGCCAAGCTTTGAGCCAACCATGACTTCATACTGCTTTCTGAGACCTGTCATGGAGAGCTTCCTAGCCTTGACTTCCTTTGGCCTTTCACCAACTGAAAACCCCACGCAGCCCAGGTTTTTGGCAACCAAGGGATTGCCCTTCCGCACAATGTCGAAGACGTCAACTGAATTGCAACAAAGCACGAAACTGGCCATCCGTTTGTAAGGGAGCCCTCGGTGAACAACAGCAGCATTTCCAAACGTGGCAAAGAAAGAAGAGATGAATCTTTTGGTTCTCTTAAAAGTGGGTCAGTCCTTCAGGGAAGGAATCCATGGAAAAGGGGTTCAAATAACTCACAGAGACCCCTCTTTCACGTACTCACTAATCACGGAGGGTTGGAGTTTTATTGATTCAGTTTCCAAGATTCTGCATCCAACCTTTGTATCCCTTGCATGAAACTTGATTAACGAAACTCTGGCTGAATCATGCATCGTTGCTACAGGGTTGATATTAATCTTGCCGTTTTGGCAGAGTCTCTGTGAATTGCTCGTACCGCTTGTTCCCGGATTCCTTCACGGAAGGACTATTACTTATTTACTTATTTGTCACATTTATATAGCTGCCCTTCTCTCGCAAATCGACTCTGGGAGGCTCTAACGCCTCTTCTTGAAACCTCCATCTCCATTTTCTTTGCTGTTTTTGGAACTATCCTTTTCTTTCTCCGACCCCGAGAATCCTCGGACCCCGTTTCTGCTCTATTCTCCCCAAATGGATGCAGAGAAACAGCCACAGGGCCCTGTGCACAGCATTTATGGGTATGCAGGAAGCAGCTTACCTTTTCTTGAATTGATACAGAGTGTGACCGAGCCACAACGTCCCCAGCATCAGCACGATGCTCAGAACGGCGGTTTCGCGGCCCTCGTGCGTAGCCGCCGAAGGAGCGTCGCTCTGGTTTCCCATCGTTGAACGTTCTGTTGATATGTTCAGCAAGAAGGTGGTGTTATTGATGGACAGACTGTGCGGTCTTGAGCCGTAGTAGTAGTTTGTAAAAACTGAAAAGAAAACAAACACTTTTAGGGCTGGTAGGCAGTCAGAAATCTTTTTTTTTTACTTCTTCCCTTTAGATAGACAGACACATATATTTTTTCAGGACAGTAAAAGTGTACAAAATTAAAAGATTAAGAAAAAAGTACATAGAAAATAAGAAAAAGAAAAATGAAAAGAAATGAAGCAACAAAAGAAAGAAAACATAGAATTATGACTTCTGCCCTTCTTTCTATCTAAGTAATTGCCATCTTATTTTTTCCTCTTCCTCTTTGACCCTTTCTAATCCCCAAATCCATAAATCATCAATTCAGTCTTGTCTTCTTTCAGTCCTTATTGTTTTACCCTGACCACGCTGGTCAGCTTTGCCATTTCCACAAGCCCTGTCAATTTTATAATCCAATCTTCCACTGTGGCTATTTCACTATTCTTCCATCTTTGTGTGTACAATAATCTTGCCGCAGTTACCATATACAATAGTAGTTTCCCATATTTCTTTTCCGGTTCAGTGTCCATAAAACCCAATAGAAATAATTCCAGTTTCATTGTAATATTAGTCCGCAATATCTTTCGCATTATTGTATGAATTTGCACCCAACATTTCTTTGCCTTTTCTCAAGTCCACCATGCCTGATTAAAAAGCCCCCGCTTTCTTTTTATTCTTTTTAGCACACACAACTCCAGTGATGCTGAATCACTTTTGGAGATGTGCAGATCAAAATTTACTTCCTTTGCTACATACAGGTAGTCCTTGCTTAACAATGGTAATTGGGACCTGCAACTCTGTTGCTGAGCATCGTAATTGTGAGCTGGTTGACAAACGCCCGATCATGATCACGTGACTGCGGGGACACTGCGACGGCTGCAACTATGAGGACCCATCGAAAGTCCCGCTCATTCAGCACCAGTCGCAACTTTGAAGTCACTGAACGAGTGGTCGTTCAACAAGGATATTATTATATAATTACAGAGTCATATTGTATGTATTGTATGTATATTATTATAGAGTCATATTCTGTTTTTGATCTTAAAGATATGGCATGGCTGTCATGAGTCTGACCTATATCTTTAAGATTCCATTCTTGCTTACTTGAAGGTAGTTTTCAGGATATGTGTCAAGCACCACATTTACAGAGTCAACTTCCATTTACTTAAACTAGAACCTGTTTTAGGCACTCAATTTATTCCAACTTTGAAGTAAAACTTTCTTTAGGTCCATCACAACCAGGCACACAGTACTCCAAAAAGAAAAACCCAATGATTTCTCCAAAGACCAATGTTTCATCTGGCGAAAGAGCTGATTATCTATCTACTTACTTGCAAGAACAGATTCTTCTTTATTGCACTATCCCATTCTCTGGATGTGTAGCCCCCCACAAATTATCTCTAGAAGCTACAAACATGATGGCCTATGCCTGCCTTCCACGTGGAGAGAAACCAGACTGAGTCTTTGGCTGACTGGGCTGAGAATTTGGTAGTCCCAACATGTTGGCAAATCACCTGATATGAGAAGACTGGTCTAAGCCATCACTTCTTTTCCACATTTTTTTCTTCCAAGACTTATACCATATCCCAGATTACACACTCCTTGGACTTGCACAGATGCTAATGACTGTAAAGGAGTAAAATATGCTCAAATATGTCCTAGATTATAGCTGCACAATAATTCCCAAACAAAGTTTCTTCCACTGCAAGTTCCAGTGCAAAATGTTTGGAAATGAAACTGGTCTGAATTTGTAATTCCCAGACTCAAGGGAGAATTGGACTATTTGAAGCTGTTTTGATCATGTTGACAGGGTGTCAGCCCAACAAGGTAGACCAGACTAAGAAACTAATGCCATATTGGCAAGGACTCTTTATTGTAAAGCTATATAGGTTGCCTTCTTTTAGTGACCACAATTGGGACTGGTAACTCAGTTGTTAAGTGAAGTGGTCACTAAGTGGGAAATCACGTGACCACGCCTGTGCCTTCCTATTCCCCACTCCCCAGCCCTTTGGAATATTCGCCCTGGCACTGGGATAATTAGCAAGGGAATTTGCATTTACATTCATTGGGGAGGAAGGAATTACAAGAGAGTAAGCAGGCACACAATGGGAATACACCAGCTGTTTGCGTAGTGAGCTCATGGCTGCCAGCGCCACCACATTCCTTTCAATGTGTATTCCCCACTGTGTGCCTACTTAGTCTCTTGTAATCCCTTCCTCTCCAGGGGGGGAGTTAAAAACAGGTCAGGCTACAGGGCAATGTGTACTGACTGTAATTGTGATCACATGACTGAGGGATGCTACGAAGATTGTAAATGTGCTGCTTGGTTGCAAAGGTTTTTTTTCCAGCACTGACATAACTTTGAACGGTCACTGCACGAGGCAGTCAGTAAACAAGATCTACCTGCAGTAAGATAAATTTGCAAGTCTTGAAGGTGCTTTCCCCTCCCTCCCTCCCTCCCTCCCTGTATCTTTCTGTGAACTAAGGAAGGGCTGGTCTGAGACATTTTCTCACATTACAAGTAGTCCTCACTTAACAACGGTAATTGGGACTGGCAACTCCACCACTAAGTGACGTGGTCATAAAGTGTGAAATCACGTGACCATGCCAACTTATGATAGCAGTTGCGGCAGTTCTGGTTGTGGTTGTTAGGCGAATCCCGCACTGTTGTTAGGCAAAGCGTCATGTGAATCTCCATTTGTGACTTCCTGCTGGCTTCCCCTTTGCTTATTGGAAGCCAGCAGGAAAGGTCGCAAATGGCGATCACATGACTGCAGGACACTGCGACTGTCATAATTGCGAGCTGGTTGCCAAGTGCCCGAATCATAACCATATGACTACAGAGATGCTGTGATGGCCACAATTATGAGGACCAGCCATAAGTCTCCTCATTCAGTGCCACTGTAACTTCAAACAGTTGCTGAATGAATGGTTGTTAAACGAGGACTACCTGTACTTTCTTGGCCTGGACTCAAGCCCCTCTTATCTGACCATTGCCTTGGCAGCAGCTTTTCCTCCTGTCCTGCAAGGCCATCCCCATGCCCTCTACATTGGGTTTCGAGTTCAAAACAAAGCCATTTTGAGCATGAGATGATTTCCAAATGATCAAGATGCTCCCCTGCCCCCTCAAGACAGGGTGCTTCACATCTAAAATTGATCAAGTTCGAAATGCTCTGCAGACTGTAATTGTCTCACTGTATGGAAAAGACTGTCACCGTCATCCTACAAATTAGCTCCTGCAGAAGCAAGCATCTTGAATCAAATGCAATCTGAGTCATCCAGAGCTTTTTGCAAATATGCGGGACAGCACAAAAGAATTAAAGTCTCTTCTGCATAACAGAAGTCCAACTAAATTTAAGCAGGAATGGCTTCCATATATATTACAGCCAGGTGTCAACAAACATTTCGAGTATGATTTTTAAAGCTTAGACCAACAGGTATTGTAAACTGGTCAGAGCACAAGGAAGGGGGGAAGTCAGAAATTAAGTATTTACCCATAAACTAGAGATTTTGGCATTAAACTTAAAAATTTATATTTCTTTTTTATATATCATAAAAACAATTTAATACACTCCGCTCCATATCTTTTATTAATGTTATATTTATCAACAATTGTATAACTTCAGGAATTACTTGTTTATCCATAGGTAATATCCTTTTTGAAATACACCTTTGTTTTAAATAAAATAGAAGGATTATAGTAAGGCTAAATAATAGTAATAATAAAACAAGCACAGAGCACTGTTGGTTTAAAAAAAATACATCAACAGTCCTCTGTGCTTGTTTTATTATTATTTAAAATTACTACATAACTTTAATAATTTATAAAAACTAAATCATAATAAATAAATTGCTATTTTTAAAAAGAGGGAAATGAACACAGCTCTATTTGTATGTCTGTATGCACTTATTGCCAAATACAGTTTTAATTAAAAAAAAAATGAAAGTCTCTTCGCTCTGCCCTTTGAAGCCTCATTTGCAAAACACCAGATTGGTTTTTTATTCTTGTTTAGGATTCAAGACACCTCCCTCTCCTAAAATAAAAACCCTCCAAAAGGTTGAAGTTTTGCAGTTCACGAAGGGAACTTGGTTTCCCCAGCTCCGTCCAAAGCCCAAAGCGATAGTTACCCCTGAATGATTCTTTTGCAATACAAGTTGTGACCACCCCCCCGTTAGCCCAGAGACCACTGGCAGCTGGCGGTCCCATAGCAAGGACCGAGTGTGTCATATTCTGTGGCCGCAGCCCCATTCATCACAGGAGCTGAACGTCTCCCTCCTGCACAGAGGTGATACCCCCCAGCAGCTGCAACTTCCTAATAAAGCTATCCTAGTTGCGTGTGTGTGTGTGGGGGGAGTTATTTAAGGTCCCTCTGATCCCATTAGCTTCTCTTGTTTGCTTCAACCGCCGTTTCCTGTAGAGTGCAAAAGTCAAGATCAAACAGGAGTACAGCTTAGGTAGCTGGATCACAACTTTGAAAAACAAAATATAATTAGGCGGATGAAAAGAATGGGCAGCAGCGTGAACTCCCCGTTCTTTCTCCCCGCTCGCGCAATGTGATAACACTCCCCACCCCCCCTTCCTGCCGGTGCATTGCAGCTTTAGGAATTAAAAGAAATATGCAACTAATCTTCCTTTGAGAAGGAAATGGGGCAGCTGGACGGATGGAAAGAGCTCCCAAGCAACCATTCCATGAAAAAAGATCAGAGATTAATGAAAATTAAGTATTGAAATTGTTCTGTGGAACAGGAGGCACATGGTCAGAGACAGCGAAAAGGAAAGAGAGGAAATTATATTCGGGGCGGCATCGCTCTCCTTTGAAGAAGAACTTAATGACGTTCTAAGCCCCCGCCGTTGAGGGACCATGGTGAGCCCACTGATTCTCCCCTTGGCAGAAATCAAAGCGCGGCCTTTTCATCCGGAAAAGCTGAGCTGAGCTGCACGGTGTTTGCTCCCCTCGTCTCCATCCCACCCCGTCCAAAAGCCAAAAGAAGGGACAGCCAATCTAACCTCATGAGGAAGAAGCCTTGCTGAGTGATGGACTGCTATGATTCCCCATCAACCTCTCTAAAAATTGGGGGTGCCAACTGTAGACAGGGACCCAGTGAAGGACCACTGCTGTTATTGGGGGAGATTTCAGCTGTAGCCCCAGTACAGTCGCATGCCGGTGACTGATAAATTATCTTATTGGTTCATTCCACTGCAACTCATCAGCTTCTGCCCTGTGTTTATGAGCAAAGAATGTCAGAATCCAGAGGTGGCCATCCAGATGCTGATAAACCTCAACTACATCAATGAGGCAGCCTATCCAAGACACATGAAGTCATTATTTCTCTCTATTCAGCCCTGGTGAGACCACACCTGGAATCCTATCTGTGACTCTGGGTACTATGTATCCAAAAGGAGATTGGTAAGGCAGAAAAGTTCTACAAGAGGGCAATGATGATGATCCAGGAACCTGAAAACATGCCCTCTGAGGACAAGCAGAAGGACGTTCAATCTGGAGAAAGGAAGACAGAGGGGAGACATAGGAGCTGCCTGTCTTCAGGTACATCTAAGAGATGGTCAAGAACTATTTTCCCTGGTCACAGAAACTAAGACCAGAAATCAGGGGTACAAAGTTGCAACTACCTAGATTTTGTTGAAATGTAAAGAAAAGCTTCTTGATGGTATGACCTGCCCAACAGTGAAGAGTCTACCCATAGAGGTTGTGGCTTCTCCATCTCTGGAGGTTCCCAAGAAGAGGTTGGATGGCCACTTCTTAAGGATGATTTAATTGCTTTTCCTGCACACGGCCTCGGGTTGTACCAGATGAACTTTGTAGTATTACAGTTCTGTGAGTTATGCTCCCCCTCCCCACTGAACTAATATTTCCTTTGGACTGCAACTTTTGGTGATTAACCCTAACCTGAAAACAAAATCTGGTTTTTAGCCAGGCAATGCTACTCACGGTTAAGAGCCTTCTATCCAAGCATCTGCTATATTGTTTTCTGCAGAACTGTCTGCTCTGCATAAGAACAAAAAATGCAGCCAGATTGCTTTTGCTGCCAGATTTACCTTTTGTGATTCCTTTAAGGGCATCAAGCACGAAGGTGATGGAGATAAAAAGGGCAATGATTTCTTCTGTTGACCTACGAAAACACACACACAACAGAAGATCAGCAACAAAAAATGCCAGAGGTCTCTATGAGCGTCTGAAAGACCCCAATACATCTGAAGCATCTTCTTCCAGGGAGATAAACAGCTCAGCAGATGCAAAGTTCAGCCATTTCCAATGTTTTATTTGTAGAAGGCTCGATTTTTAGTCAAAATATTTGGAAGTGTGTTGGATTCATCTATTGTAATGGTTCCTACTTCATTCTGAACTGTTGGGACATCAAAGAACTGCCCTCCTTCTGAGGCTGCAAATTTAGACTTAGCGCAGATGTCACACCCAATCATGGGTTGTTCATAACCATTGTTCATAACCCAAATCACAGTCAAAGGTGCTAAGGATCCGAAGGAAACCATGGATTAGAGTCACTTCTCTCTTTTTGAAAAAAAATTCTTGCAGATTCACTCCCTTCTCCATGCGATGCAACTGCCTCTGCCTGCAAGTATGGTTAGTCAAGTCAGGCATCTTATCAAACCATAGTTTGATAAGATGTGGACGGCCATGCTAAGCTTTCTCAACTGTACGTGCACATGATGTCTGAACAAACCATTTACAGCTTACTTTTTTGGCAAACGAAATCAGGCTAACTCATGGACAAAAACAGTAACTTGCAGAAATTTTTGAACTGCTCTGAAAGAATCAGGACCCATGTACTTCTCTGGGTCCTAGTTCCGGGGTTTGGAGGTCAGAGTGTTAGTAGGAGCCTATGATGTGTTTACAGGTAGGCCTCATTTAGCAACCACAGTTGGGACCAACTCAGTTGTTAAGTGAAGTGGTCGCTAAGTAAACCGCAAATGTGCTTATGATCTTACTTCAGCTGTCCTTTGCTTTACAGGCCTGCAAAGGTCCTAAATGCAAGGATTGGTCACCAAGTTATTTTTCCATCACCGTCATAACTGTGAATGGTCGCTAAACAAGGCAATTGCTAACCAAGGACTACCTGTATTGTTTTGTTTAGACTAGTTTGTTCCTCAACTGCTACGTGTGTTGCTATGTTTTAAGTTATATTTTTGTATTGATCTTAAATTTTCCAAGCTGCCCAGAGTTGCTACTATGAGATGGGCAGTAACAATAACAATAATAATTTCCCACATGAGAAGCGATGTATTTACCTTTTAAAGAGTTTCATTACAAGACTGAAATTGAAGAGGGAGTAGAGCACGAGGAAGAAACTGTTCCAGAGTCCAACCCAAGCATAAAACGCACGGAAGTCCAATTTGTAGTCGTTGCAGATTCCTTGGATCACTGGAAGAAAGAAAGCAACCCAGATAAACATAGAGGCATTGCGACTACTGAGCGATAACCTTTCCATAGAGAACATGACATCCTCCCCATGTGAGAAAGTGTTATTGGCCGATTTGCAGGAACTTTAAAACTTGCAGAAATACCACCCCTACCCACAAAATTGGGGAAAAAGTCTTAATAGGGAAGGACTTAATAAATATACCAGCAGTTTGGAGATGGTGCACATGAAGATGTAGGAACTGTAAGAAAACGTTGAGATGAACTGATGGGCGCCCAGTGATGGGCCACTGACTTGATCTGGCCTTGCAACTATGCCACGGCTATGAGAGCTGGACCTTCAAAGAACCCCAGGAGATCAATTGGCCAGGCAATGGAACCAAATCGTGGATGGCTACTTTTTCTGTATGCAGAAAATCTACCCAACAGAGAAGAAGCTTGCTTGGAGTTCTTCACCCAGATGTGCTAATTTCTCATGTGTGTTGCAGGCAGGAAGGGGCATTCAACCTTCTGATTCTCAGCCCTCTGAAACTGAACCTGCTGTTACACCCAGGGAGGAGGGCCCACATTTGCACGCAGGGTTTTCCCTCTGCCTCTTCAGATTGGAAGCAAAGGCCGTATCAAGCAGAGCAGAAGAGATGGCTCAGAACTGAGCATGAGATGAGTTTAAACATCAAAGAGAGATGCTGATCAAAGGGGACGGGCAGGAGGGACAAGGACTGTGCAGTAGGAAGCGCTGGTGGTAGGGAGGTTGGAGCGTGTTGGTGGTGCTCGAAAGGCTGCCCCTTCTGAGAACCCCGAAACGCAGAGACACGAACAAGGTGGCGTGTCAAACTCACCATTGATGTACAGCGCCAAAGGAGCTGTTGTTAAAAGCACTACAAGCGGCTGGCCAGAGAACAGCGCATAAAGCAGGCCACCGATGCACTGGCCAACGATAGATTTTTGCACATCTGAAAATAAAAACGGGGAGGGGGCAGAAGACAACACCGGAAAAAATCAGAGGGTGGCTGAAGCCAACCTGCATTAAGCAACAGGATCCTGGAAGGGTTTGGGAATAATTCACTGTGTGTTGGTGCCAAGAGGGTCCAGAGCAGTGTTCCTCAACCTCAGCAACTTTAAGAGCGGTGGACTTCAACTCCCAGAATTCCTCAGGCAGCCATGCTGGTTGGGGAATTCTGGGAGTTGAAGTCCACCCCTCTTAAAGTTGCTGAGGTTGAGAACACTGGTCCAGAGGGTATGGTCAAAAAGTCAAGATGGCACTGCACATAAAAACAGAGCTTTGATCGCACGGTTGTGGCCTCCAACTTGAGTTTTTTGACCACACACTGGTTGATGCAATACATATTTCTTCCTCACAGGCCACAGGCAAGGTGGGCTTAGAGTAGAACATGGTGACATAGCCAGGCTACCTTTCCAAAAATACGATCTCATCATTTCCCAGTATGGTGTCCCCCCAAATTGTTGGCCTTCGGTCATTCCTTGACCCCATGAGCAATGCAAATGGTATTGCTCCTGTGCAGAAATTATGGTTGCTGGGAATCATGGTTGCTGGAATCTACCATGTCTGGTTGGGAGAGGATGGAGAAGAACATTTTTCTTCTTCCTCTGCAAACTGCATTTCATTAAAAATCTTCAAAAAGGAGCATCCAGGAATAAATAATGTTTAGCTACAACCTCAGACTTCTCCAGGTTTTCAGGGAGGTGGGATTCTTAGCAAGATTCTGTCCTTATAACTCAGCAAGATAGGCAGGTCTTGTCTTTTATAACCTCGGAAACCAGGAAGATGGAATTTCCGGTACTTTGGGCCCAAGCAGCAAAGCAGAATAAATAAAGCTAAGAATTGCTGGTCTTATTCCAACAAAGGTTTTTGTTTTCCTTTTGGTAGAAGACTGTTTTTAAGTGTTTTTTTTTTTAATCTTGCCACTGCTTTTTATTTATTTTTAGAACAGCCTCGGGTTTCAGTGACAATTTTTTAATCATCATTCATTGTAATGCTTTCCTCTTCATTTCCGCATGCCACTGTTTTATCAGGGTTTTAATACAAAATAAATTCTGCAAATAATTAAACATATAGATGTTCTGTTCCAAATACTGCCTAATGATGAGGCTATTTGCAAATCAAATTTTGTAAGGTAGAAATGCAAAAGCTACAGCCCAATTATGCAAACCTGCCTGATCTTTCCAACATATTCAGCAATTGTAAGAATTGGGCATAGAAATTGCATTAGCTGGGCATAAAACTCTTAACAACAGCAACATTTTTTTACAGGGGGCTGTTTCCACATTCTCAGCTGTACCATCCAGTAACTAAATTATTTCACAGCAGTGATGCTGCAAAAATGGTGTCCTCAATTTTTGTAGTTTCATACTTTAAACACCTGAAATGTTTGGGTGCAACATCACCATTATGGATTGCTTCATCTTGCGCAGCATAGAACAGTGTTTCTCAACCTTGGCAGCTTTAAGATGGTTGGACTTCAACTCCCAGAATTCCCCAGACAGCATGGCTGGCTGG